TTCTCCCCGGCCACCCGCCCGCTCCCACGCCCTGTACCCCATCTCCTCTGCAGAAAGCACGCAGGCACAGCGGAGGGAGGCAGGGCTCAGAACCGCTCCCACTGCCCAGAAGCACCGCCCGTCAGTAGCATATTTCTTTAATCGTTGTTATTTACAATTCATCATGATCAGACTTACAGAGAATAAATAAAGAAAAGGAAATTTACAGTTGGTATCATTCCTTTTCTAATACGAGAATTCTTATGTGTTCTATTTTGGAATGACTATGATAGTTTTAAGCAGAAATTAAGTCAGTTTGCTCTTCACCCCTTGACAGGACACACGGTCCTCCCGAGTCTGCAGAGCAGGCCCAGGCGGCCCCTCCTCACGGGAAGCCTGCTCCTGCGTGTTGCTTTCGCAGTCACGGGAAGACGGGAGAGGGAGGAACGGGTGTCACGGGCAGTGAAGGCGGAAAGTGAGCAGCTGGACTGCAAACTCAGCGTGTTTGCAGGAACCCTCCCACTTTCAGTTAGTTCCAAACCTCTTTTAAAGAATACAGGTTCCCACTCAAAGTGATTACCTTATCCCACTGGGCTTTCCCTCCAATCTTTGCAAACCCTCCCTTTCCCTGTGGTTGTGAATGCAGGTAAGCGAAGGGGAGGTCGGGACTCCTCCTGCTCCTGTTGAGGCCTGGGGAGTTCCTGACAAGGTGTCTGCAAAGCTTGTTTCAAAAGGGCTGAATTTGGGGCCAGAGTCTGGTGCCTGCTCTGGGTGCAGTGCCTTGTACAGAACAACCTTGAAATGCTGTCTAAAGACCTCAAAGAATCAGGTATTCCATAGGTCGATTTCCCCATCAAATAATATAAAAAGGGGGCTGTTCTCCACCAGCTAAGCTCTGGGCTCTTTCTTCTGTTTCCTCACTTGAAAACAAACCCTCTAAGTCACAGCACAGCAGTTCTCCCTAACTCACCCCAGTTATGCAGTGTGACAAGCTTCTGTTTCTCTATTTGATTCACTCAAAAACAACACTCAGCAAACATGTGGAGTGCCCACTGCGTGCAGGACAGGACATGGTGTGCAGTGGTGAACAAGTTACAATCTTGTGACCCCTAAACAGGGCACTCGCGACACCGCCACAAAGCTCACGGTGGGAGCCACACAGCTAGAGTCTCAACACCCCCTCCTAGATCGCTACTGTCCTTGCGTTTAATTTGGTCCAGTGCGGTTGGTACTCCATTTCAGAATAGATATTCACGCAATGAAACTGTTGGGGGCAGAGCTGTGGATCACGCTCTGTGGACGGTGATGGTGGGAGGCGGGAGGGCACCTAACAGGAAAGGACCACGGTTGTCTGGTGATGATTCACCTCGCTAACGACAGACGCGAGGTTGTCCTACAGGCCCTGGGAAACTGGAGGACGTGCTCCGAGAGGAAAAACAGAGCTGCAGAAAGATAAAAGACACCTTGGGGCTGGATGGGTCCCTTGCTCAGAAAAGAAAATGCATTTTGAGAACAGGCCAAGGACAGGATGTGCTTTGATTTGGTTGCTGTGCCAGGACCCTGACCAGCTCTGGGAGTTTGCCTCAGGAATGGTGACCATTCTCAGGTCCCAGGAACTGGCAGAGCTGGGTTTTAACACCACTGAAAATTAACTACCTAGTTATCGGACTTCAGGATTCTGGAAGACACAGGGACCATAGACCCTGCAGCCATCCTTACACACACACCCTTTCCTCCTTGAATGCAGCCCTATATTACCAGCCGTGTAATAAGAGAAGGGCAGATTTTATGTGGACAAATCCCACTGCTCTCCCATTTGTCAGCAAAAATGGAATAAATGCTCATATGTGATTCAACTTTGTCTCTGCTTAATTGGCCGAAGTAATGCCAGTCAGTCCGGACCCATTGTGTCCGGTTTCAAAACCTCTACTATTCCAAAAAGAGTTTCTTATTACACTTCAGGGGTCTATACCACTGTACTCTATTCCTTCCACAAGCTGCCCTGGGGCCATACCTCAGTGCCACCTACTTCTTGACCAAAACACTGGTTCACTCTCAACTCCTGTCTTTGCAACAATTACAAATTTTCCTCACTGTAGGAATAGCAGGAACAGCCTAGAGTTCCCTCTAGATTTAATTCTCTAGCCAGAGAGCCGTGTCGGATCGTAACTGTCCTCTGTGTTGCCAGATCCTTTCAAGTTGTTCTGGATTGTTCCAGATGCTAAACAGACAAACCAGGTCAGCAAACGTGGGCACAGTGTAGGCAGGATGCTCATTGATAAAGGAACAGGTTAATTTGTTACATTCTCTTTAGAATTTTGTACAATTGTATCCAGATGGTGTCTTTCTCACTGCTTCCAAGCAAGGCCAGGTTACAAACTGGCAACGGTTAAACCTATCCAGAAACTAAATAAGTACATGTGAAAAACGGGTGAAATCTGAATCCGGTCTGTGGTTTAGTCAATAGTATTATACCAATGTCAGTTTTCGGGCTTTGGAAACGCATGATGGTTACATAAGACATCATCAGTGGGAAAGCCTGGGGTTAGGGTAAGGCCCCTCTGTACTAGTTTTGCAACTGCTTAAATTATTTCAAAATAGTAAGTTTTAGAAACAAACAATTGCACACCAAGCAATGCAGCTCATTGTCGCAGAGAATTCAAAATGCCAGCAACCAAATCACCATGAACCATTTCCGCCTCTTTCCATGTCGGTTCAGCATTCCAATACATTTACCAAGTGGACAAGACATCTGTTTCTATAAAGATGTTAAATTTCGATTCAGAAGGGTTTCCCAGATACACCAGGATCCGAAACTCCTAGAAACATTCAGGGACCTGCCACATGCATGGCCAGAGGTCAGAGGTCTTACTGAAAAAAGACCTATAAATTCAACTTAGGATCAAAGACTGACTAGCCCTATCTGGGGAATGATCTAAGCCTTACCTATAATTTTCTTCCTCTTCTTTTTTTTTCTTTTTTTTTTTGTAGTTTTGGGCAAAACAGATGCTATTCTGTTTTAGAATATTTCTTTGGAACTTCTTCCTCTTTCCTCTTCGGACACTCCCCTTCTGTTCTACTTTTCCCCAGAACACGTGGCTGAGCTCCACTTCCCTGCGGGGAGCCGCGATGGGGTGAGAACCATAGAGGGCTCCCGATGGCACCCACCTCTGTGAAGGTGTCAAACAAGATTGAGTCGACCTAACTCAATCCCTGTTTCTGTGGCATTTCTGGGCCCAGCAGTGATCCCATTAACAGAGGCGGGAGACAGGACACAAAGCCTGGTGAAGCTCTGCAAACTCCCCATGTCCAGGTCTGCACCTAAGGCAGCTCTTGGAAAACCAGGTCCAGGGCAGGAGGGGCTGATTGCTTCTCAGCTTGGGGACACGAGGTACTCAGACCTCTTGTCCGTCACCTGCTTCCTCTGAAATGAAAGGCGCTCCCTGCTGGGCCCGCGTGCCACGTGTCCCTGAGGAACTTGCTCTTTCTGAAACCTTGCAAAGCTCCCGTCTGTTTCCTGCACTGCCCCCCGTGTCTCATTTTCTCATCAATATTTTTACTCTCCATCATCCAGAACTCCTTCTCTCTCCACACATACCCACCTTTCATCCTCACGACACGTACCTTTTCTGCCCAGTCTCTAGAGCAGAATCTCGACCGTGCCCATCTGTCTGGCTTCTCGCCCCCCGCGGCCCCCTGTGCGCGGCCTGGCCCCCTCCCGCAGCCTCTTCCTGCGCGCCCGCCTCCGGTTCAGCCACAGGCACGGCCCTTCATCGCCGGCCACCCCCTTCCGTGCTCAGCTGTCACAGTCTCGGGCACCTGCGTGTGATCCTGCCCAGGGTAAAGCCGCATCCCCGTTGGGCTCCTCCAGTCCCCTGGTTTCCGAGCCCAGGAGTCTGGGCATGCGTCCGAGCGGCGCATCCAGAGCAGGGCCCAGCGCACAGCACAGTGACCAGCCTGCACATACGTTTCAGTCTGACCCCAGAACCACACCTGGACGTAAAACATTCCACGTACAGCATGGGGCGGGCGACTTACTGCAAAGCGGACAGGGCCCTGCCTTCCTCAGCCCAGCAAGGTCAGCAGTAGGCGACAATAGGGCTGGCCAGCGACTGGGAACTGATGGCCTCTCTGCCTCAAGCCCGGGAGAATCCGGACACACTAAGTTTGTCTTAAATATGACTGTTTTCTGTGGGATAGTGAAATGCAGTGCATCGAAGCACGTGGAGAAACGCTGCACGAAGGAGGGACATAGACCCTCTCTTGCACCTACAGGGCCTGGCCGGCTGCGGCCCTGCCAAGGACACGAAGTCCAGTCCCCAAACTTCTAGAGAAAGTGATGATTGACTTCATGTTGTGCCAGATTAAATGCTATTCCGGTTTGTCTGTGAGCTGTTTCCTGATGAGATTAGATGTGAATTGTTGCACTGAATAGGCAGAGGGCCTTGACCAGGGTGGGGGGCCTCACCCGCTCCAATGAGGGCCCACATAGAAGAAAAATAGGACAGGAGTTTGCTCCTGCCTGCAACTGAGCTGACACCTGGGTCTCCTCCCTCGACTGGACTTGCCTCCCTGCCGGTCGGCCCTTAGAGGCACACAGCCAGCTCTCCTGGTCTCAGGCTCAGCCCCTAATTGATTACATGAGCCTACTCCCTATAATAAATCAGAAGTATATGTGTGTGTATCTTCTGTTAGCTCTGTTTCTCTGGAGAACTCTCAATAGTACATGATGTTAACACTGACCTTGAGAGCATAGTGGCAGGTCTCAAGGTGCAGGGGAGCATGACATCAAAGGAGATCATGGGCTTGGGAGCACATGGCGAACCTCCAAATGGCCCACACGGGGCGGGCGTTACTAGTCCTACTGGAGTGGCTTCCCTGCACGGCCTCCTTTCCTGGCCACGATTCCCCGGCAGGAGATGAGCAGGTGACCGCGTCTGCGTCAGCTGGGGATCCAGGTTTCCAGCAAGCTCTGGACGTATCACACCTGGAAGAGACTTCACAGCCACCTAGTGCACTGTCCTCGTCTGACCTAGCAGGAAAGCCAAGACCAGATGGCAAAGAGACTGTCCAGGGTTTGACACTCTTGGTTCAAAGCAGAAATGGGTTGAGCTCCCAAGGCGATTCCATCCTGACTCCCAGCCCCTGAGCCTCCAGTTCGTCCTGGGAGAGACTGAGACCAAGTCCCAGGACTCGAGAGGAGAGGGAGGAAGAGGGCCTGCGGAGAGTTCCGGGTGGGGGTCGTGCTTCTGTGTGGCCTGGGGCAGTGCTGAGGGCTAACAGGGGACATTCGAGCTCCTCAGAGGCTGTAGAGGGACCAAGGGAGGGCGACAGAGGGGACCCCAGGGTCAAGCTGCTCCCCCTAAGCCTGGGCTGTTTCCTCTGCCATCTTTTCTTGTGTCTCCTCAGCAGGAATTGGGGATTCCTTTCCCTGCTCCCCACTGAATCTGAGGGTTCATGGAATGGGGGAGCCTGGAAGCTCCGATTGACCAGGTATCTGTCCCCACGAATTCCGAAGCCTGCCTCCCTCTTCCTTCTCTGCTGCTCACAGGGTCTCCAGGGCACCCGCGTCTACTAAGCCATCCCAGTGGATGACAGCTCCCTCACGCTCAACCTGTCCAGGAGGCCACCCAACGCCATCTCACACACCACTTCGAGTCCCAGCCTATGCCTGTCTCCCCTGGTTCTTCAGCCTGCCTGACAGAGGACCCCACCTCCGGAGGCAGGACATTCGCCGTATGTCCCCAGTAAAGGGTGGGCATCGTCTCCTTGGAGCGTCCCCTCGCTGGCCCTAGGTCAACGCTTTGAAACATCCAGACACTGTGTCCTGTTGCCCATGCTTGAGAAATTCAACCCCAGCCCAGAAGCGCCACAGAGGGCAGCTGTGACGATGAACCAGCGGGCCCGAGACGTAACTATCGAAGCACCAGTTTTTACAGATTCGAAATCAGGCCCTTACGAAGACACACACTTGGAAATGTCTGAACAAGATAAAGAGGAGGCCCCTCTGCAGAAATGAGTAGCACACCTGCTACGTGTCCCCCACAGGCCTCTTTTCTGTGTCCTCTCCCTGCTGAAGAATCCTTCCACGCCTGAGGTACATTTGTTTTTGCAAATGACGATTCCCCTTCACACTGCCATGCAGCAGACATTCTCTCCTCCACAATCTGTATTCTTAGGTACGTAGGCCTCAACCCTGGCCCCTGCCTACGAATGAACAAAACACCTATTCCAGGAAGGAGGGGTCAAGCAGGTGTCAGCTACTTTGACAGGGAGAGAAACTCAGAGCGTGGGACAAGTCCAGAGTCCAAATTAGGAAACATAACCATCTGTGGTTAATTACTGAAACCATTTCATCCAAGTCTCCATGCTGGCCAAGCATTTTCCCTAAGGCTAATTTCAGGTTTCCTAAGACATTAATATTCTTCAGGTTTAGGGGGGTTTTTCTGAAACTATTTTTTTAAGGCAACATGGAAAAACACTGTAGAATCTGCACATTTATAAACACAAGCATATTTAACCTTTATAAATTATCTAGCCTTTGTTATCCAACACTTTGGTATATCAATGAAGATTTCTTTACTGGATCTTATCTGCCCTAGGCTTTTTTTTTTCTCTTTTCTAGTTCTTTAATGTAAAAAAAAAAAGTATATATGGGTCAGGGATGGAGAGTGGGGTGGAGTGATGGGAGATGAGAGACAGAGGGAGAAAAGCAAACGAGCCTGTCTCGCGTGCCCTCAGCATCCAGGGGGTGGCTTGGACGTGGTGAGTGGTGGCTCCTGTGATGAGGACCTGGGCCTTTGCAGTGTCACAGGCGTGGACACATCACTCATCCGCCTGCTGGAGGAGCAGAATGTGGATTTCCTGGAAAGAGGGCCTATGCTTGGTGTCCCTCCTCCAGCAGCTCAGCATCAGCTTGTACACGGAGTCAGGGCAGATGGCGGGCTGGGGGAGGTAAACCTTGGAAACAAAAATAAACAAAAGAAGAGAATATTACAGAAAGGGAGGTAAGGAAGAGTTGCTGCACCATCTATTGATTTGCTCGGTCCCAGCATCTCGAACATGATCACTGAGTCAGGAGTCGAAAGCACGTCAGCCCCGTTCCTCCCCCTGTCTGTTCTTCGTCTCTGCAGCAGGGTTCCTGGAGGGGCCATTCTGGGGTCCTTACCATCAAGCCAAAGGTGACCCAGAAGCAAAAATACACCTCAGACTGGAGATCAAGTGGTTAGAACCCCTAGTCCATTTGCTTAGACCATGAGCTTCCAAGAAAAGTGCTCTCTGGAAATTCTTCACAATTTGTCATGATAAATTGAAAATTAAAATGTAAATGAATTTCTTTTAAGTACTGAAATTATTGCTATAGACTTTCAAGCACTTTCAACTGAATACAAAGGATTTCAGGTTTGCCTAAGCTATGGACCCTACGTATTTCCTTCTAGAATTCATGCCACTGGGGTTTTCTTCTGAATTATATCCACTTTGTTCAATCAACTGTGGTACTAACTGAGCCACTGGGAATAGAACTAGATCATGGGTGCAGTCTAGTGGCCACAGCGCCCACCTAGCAGCTGAAGTGGAGACAGCTGCACCACACTCTAAGACCAGGCTTTTAAAATTTGAATACTGAAATTCTAATAATAAAATTTATAGCAATAAAATATAAATTGGAAAGATACATAATATTTATATAATAAAATGTAATAAAATAAAATATAAATTTAATAAATTGTGTTTAATAAGTTCAGGTGTTAAATGTTTATTTAATATATTTTTTATTGACTTTAGAGCGAGAGGAAGGGAGAGGGATAGAGAGATAGAAACATTGATGAGAGAGAAACAACCATCAGCTGCCTCCTGCACGCCCGGTACTGGGGATGGAGCCCACAACTGGGGCATGTGCCCTGACCGGGAATCGAACCAGCAACCCTTCAGTACACAGGGCAACACCCAAACAACTGAGCCACAGTGCCAGGGCAAATTTAATAAATTTTTATTGAAAATTTAAACTTGTGCTTAGAGGTGAGGAGCTTACTCTGCACAACGGTGATATGTGACCATGGCCTAGGCTTCAGTCCAATATTTGACTTCACTGCTCGACCGTTTGGTACTTGGTCAGAGTAGGCTAGGTTCACTGACTGTATTTAATGAAGGTGAAAATGGTGGATCCTTTTGCACAGAATATTTAAAAATGAGTAAAAAACTAAATCCCAGAGATTATTAGAAATTAAAACTCCATTAAGTGAGAAAACTTTTATTGTGAAGCTGAATAGCATAAAATTTGCATAATTAATTTGGAACATTTAGTCCCAAATCAAAGCTATGGCCTAGCCGGAGCATTTGACTCGCAAGTAGACTGGGCCTGTGGGGCTGCAGCCTGGCTTCCACTGAGGGTTAGAGCCCCAATTCTGCCTCAAGGACATATTTTCCCCTGTGGGATTTCAGTCCCAGAAGAATACGCTGAGAAAGAACAAAAGGTTTACCACCTCCCTCCCTTTGTCTGTAAGTCCAGGATATACTCAAATTAGAACCACTGGTATGATAAATAAGATTGCATTTTCCAACTGAACACATCGCTCTCAGTTGGCCACAGATTCTCAAGATGTCAGCCTGGTGGCCGCACTGCTTCAGACCAGGTGACAACATTCCTCCTGGCCCATCTCTTTCCCCTGCCCATGGGTAGCTCTGCCCTTTGCCATGGGAAGAAATCCATTACCTCCTAACCAAAGAAGATGATCTAGATCCCCTGCTGCCACATGGCCACAGTCTCAAGATAAACTCAAATCCCAGGCCCTCCTTGTTTCCACCCTTCATGCTGCATTCTCTCTCCTGCCCCCCTTGTCCTTCGGTGGCTTGTCTATTTGGGCTCCATTTTTCATTTTCTGCAAGAGACTTTTCCCTCTCCCCAGCTTTTGTCATTTTCTGGTTTTATGTGCCACACTCCAAGGGTGCGCTGCAGCCAGGCCATGTTGGGGAGGCTCAGGGCTTCTGCCACCAGCAAGCTTTAATCCCACATCTCACAGGAAATTAACTGAGTCAGCCAAACAAATGCTAGAGCATCTTGGCCAGGAACTGGGACCCTGTGAGCTTGGAAACTCAGCGTGTCCACAAGAGCTGGGTCCAGCGGTACATGCCAGGAGTGGGAAGTCCAGGGTACACCTGATTGTTTCTGGACATGTAAGTCTAGAAACATTGCTAGACGGTCCAAACCAAGCTTTTAATGAATGCTAATAAATCGCTTTTTCACTTTCACTTTTTCACCCAGGGAGACAAACCTCACAGTCTAGATCAGGAAATGGGTCAACCGTGAGCGAGAGGATTTTATTTGCTGGGATGTCTAAGCTGGAGAAGAGCCTGATGTGACCACCTCCTGCCCCCAGTAACCCCAGGTTGACACAGAAGCAGAGTGGGTGCCTGGGGAGGAGCCTGGTCTTTCATGTTATCTGTATATTCAGTGACAAAGGTCTTCACGCAGGTGGCCCGTCTTCCAGCCCACCCTGTCCTGCCAAGACAGGGCCGGCCTCTCTCCTTCAAGAGCATCATCCCCACAGCCCTCACCTGCCTCCCTTGGTCTCGGAAGAACTCCCCGGTATTCTCGATGACCTGTTCATCAGACAGCTGGGAATAGGGCTGCTCCTGGCAAAAGGTAAACATCTCCCACAGGGTCACCCCAAAGGCCCACACATCACTGGCTGTAGTGAACTTGCCCTGTTTCAATCAGAACAAGGAGAGAAAATCAGAATCACCTGTGTGCACAGGAACAGGTTAGGGTTTCATAACCTGGAGCTACACCCTCCCCCCACTGAGGGCCAGGAGCACTGAAACTGTCACACCGCATGGGAGAGCTGAAAGGACACCAGGACATTGTTCTGACACCATCCTCAGGTCTCAGCTCAGGGCTGCTCCCCTTGGACACGGGTGAAAGGGGCAGGGCTGTCAGCCATCCCGTGGTAAGAAGAAATGACATTTGGAAAAAAATGTCTCTTATCCACCCGTGGTCCAGAAGACCAAGAGCCGAATAAAAGTTATAAAAGTTATAAAGCAAAGAGTGGTGAACGTAAAATAAAAAGTAAATGATAATCATTAAAATAAAAATATAGAGATCAGTGTAAATAATTAATTAGAAATATGGTTATGAAATTAATACAGAAAAAAACTATTTCACGTGGATAACATTTTTTTAAATGATGTTTTAGTACCCTAAACTAATTAACACCATTCAGTATGTGGAAAGGGGAGAGGAAAAAAATAGTGAATGCCTTATCATGATGGGTGTACCAGCAGAAAGAGGCCAGTGCTAGAAAGTAACAGTTAGCACTCAGAGAGGACCACCGGTCAGAGCAGACACCCAAGCCCGTTTGTCTCCGCTGTCTCGGGCCGTCCCGACCCGCCACTCCCCCCAGCGCACCCGCGGCACCTAGGAGCCTGCACCCGCGCTCACCAGCAGGATGCTCTCCCAGGACATCCAGCGGATGGGCAGCACGGCCCGGCCCTGGATGCGGTAATAGTCCCCGCTGTACAGATTCCGGCTCATCCCAAAGTCGGCGATCTTGATGGTGTAGTTCTTGCCCACCAGGCAGTTCCGCGTGGCCAGGTCTCGGTGCACAAAATTAAGGGAGGACAGGTACTTCATGCCAGAGGCGATCTGAGTGGCCATGAACTTCAGGTTGGCATAACTGAGGAAACACAAGGAGAGAAAGTCTCCTGTGGACACAGGGGGCCACAGCAGGTGCACGCTCCACAGCGGGCTCCACCGAGCGCCGAGCCCCCACAGCGCGCTCTGCTCTTCGGGGACCTCTGCAGCCCCTCTGTGAGGAGCACAGCGAGCTGTAGGGTCCATTGCTCCCCATCTGCAGACGCAGGTTAATGTCAGAAACGCATGCAGAGGAGGGGCACCGGCCATTTACCTGACAGTGGGCGCCTCGCTGGGGGCGGAGCTGGGGGGCTCGTGGCGGGACAGGAACTGGTTGAGGTCTCCGTTCTCCATGTATTCGGTGATCATGCACAGAGGGTCCTCGGCGATGCACACGGCTAAGAGACGGATGATGTTGGCGTCCTTGAGCCGGGACATGATCTTTATCTCCTTAAGAAAATCAGTCCTTTGGAGGAACACACACAGATTAACCCAGAGGTGGCCAGAGTCAGGATCACAAGGAAAAGAGGCCCAGCCCAGCCTCACCCTCCCATCACACCAGGACCCATCCCTGGGAGACCCTGGAGAAGGCTGAGGACTGGCCCCCAGGCTGTCTCACTCTGCACACCTTGCAGTACCAGGCCTCCTGTCACACTGTCACCTTTCCGAGAACAAGAGCCGTGACCTAGGTGCTTTGGCATTCCTGCACCCAACCAAAGGCCTGCCACCCGGAGAGTGAACAGCATGGGCTGAGTCATATCCACTGCCCAGAGCTGCCCTGCAAAGTGGAAATCTTCACTGGAAGGCCACCCATTTAAAAAGCCCTGAAACACTCTATTAACAAAGCAAAGAAACCCTCAAATTTATCTGATAATTTTCTACTGGCTTTTCTTAATGAGGGAACCAGCAGCTGTCAGTCCCCACATTCAACACAGAGCTGCTAACGGTTATAGTGGCAACATGGGGTCATTTTAAAAAAGCACTCACTTGGCCAAAGCTAGTAATTGTTGTGTATTTTGTGACAGCCACCCCTTGAGTCACAAAATGGCTACAACCTTTCCAGTAACAATATTTGGGTGGGTGAGACCACCAGCCCACATTCCCCAAATTGCTGGAGTAGATCGGTTAAGTCTCCTGGGAATTTTCTAGGAAAGCTCTATCAGTGGAACCCCCAAACCACATCAGGTACATCCACCCCAACAGGGGTCCCCATGGCTCGAGAGGGGCCAGAGCCCAGGCCGTCCACCACTGCTCAGCAGGAAAGGACACAGGAGGAGGGATGCCAACACACCAAGCAAAACAGTGGTCACTTGCCCAGAGTAACACTGGGCATCCCCCCCCTCTCTGTGAGGCCCCAGGATGTCCCGTCTCTCCTGCTAATATCCTAACAGGAGCTCTCAGTTAGACTCCAGACCTTCTCGGTCCCGCCCCCTGGCTTTTCCTCCCATCCCACATCCTGCGCTTGCAGACTTTCCATGCAGCCCATGCGGCGTTTGCAGTTCAGGAGATCTGGAGGAGGGACAGGAGACTTTCCCACTCCGAGTCTCAGCGAGAGGAAGCAGCCAACACAAGTGGGGAAGCACACGGCCCCCAGATGGAGCCTTGTCAGGGACGAACAACAGCTTCTGGCTGCGCCTCCCGGTGAGGGGAGCTCACCGTCCCAGGATGGAAAGGCTGCAGGCCAGGGACGCGTCTGGGGCTGCCATCTATGGAGGGGGGGGTCCCACGGGGAAACAGCCAAAGGGCTGTGGAGCCTTTCGCTTTGAGGGCCATGGGTGCTTTGCCAAGTGGAGGTAGCTGCTCATTGCGGGGCTGCTGGACACAGAAGAAAAGGAGCATGAAAGAGAAGCCAGGGTCGGGGAGTAAGTGGAGTTGGAAGGGCCGAGAGGGAGGGCCTCAGGAGCACTCTGCGGGCGACGGCTTGGGGGGGCGGGATATTCGGGCCTTGCCGATGGTCAGGCAGTGAACAGGTAGCAAGTCCAGTGGGAAATGTGTGTTTGTGTTTGAGGGAGATGAAGAACAAAGTGAGGATGCTGGCCCCGCAGAAGATACAGTGTAATCACGGAAACGAGAGGCGGCCCACAGACCTGCCCCTCTCCAGACAAAAGGCTGCTCAGAAGCTTTCGGTAGCATCCCGATCGGAGGACGCGGCACACAAAGGAAAACTCAAAATGCAGACCACAGACCTGGCATTCTTGTTGGCATCTGCCCGGAGCATTTTCACGGCCACCAGGACAGGCTGGCTGGCATTGACATCGAGGGCAAAACCTTTGTCTTTCAACTTTTCCATTCCCTCCACTTCACAGAGATGGACCTAGATAAAAGGCACGTGTCTCAGCATTACCGCTTCTCCAAAAGTTCTCAGCCTCCAAGGAGCCTCACCTAGGGATGAATTACCCCTTACCAATGACATCAAGCAACCAGAGACACATGGAAGGTAAGTGTGACACATCTGTGATTCAAATAACTGATAAAAAAAAAAAATAGGACATGTGACTGCTTTATGAAGGAAGTACCCATTGATCAGAACATTACCTGCATGAATGAATAGATCATGCAGCACAGTGTTTCCTTCAGCATGGAGCTGCGGCACAGTGTTTCATTACAGCATGGAGCTGCAGCACAGTGTTTCCTTCAGCATGGAGCTGCGGCACAGTGTTTCATTACAGCATGGAGCTGCAGCACAGTGTTTCATTCAGCATGGAGCTGCAGCATGGTTCTTCACTGCAGCAGGGATCACTGTGAGATGCTTGCACTTTTCCTCTGAATCCCTTACATGGGGTTAGCATCACACGTGCGGCTTATTCTTACGGACAGTGTAATGAGCCTGCATCTTTCACTCAGAGGACAGGAAGAGATCATATGACACCAGGGACAGATGCCACGACCTCCTGCACCTTCTGCAACACCAAACCTACCCAAGACATGAGCATGGGGTTCACCTGAAAACCAACCACACTTTCCCATTAAACCACATGTTACACTGGAGTGTGGATGGCAGAGCAAAAACTCCCAGTGCAAATTCAGCCACTGCTCTGAGTTCTCAGGAGGCTCATGACTGCTGTAGGAGGGATGGGCCAGTATCACAGGCCTGACTCTGAGTCCACTGAGGGGACTGTTCCCCCTCATCTAAGTCAGTGATTCAGGCTCTAGTAGCGGATTCAGGGACCAAGGCTGGGGGGATTCTGTTTGACCCTTTCACACATAGCTTCCACGAAAAGGGGAAAACAGTGGCTCTGAAGCAGCAGGGTCTTGGACAGTTTATAAAAGATGATCACATTTTATGGGTCCCCACTCTTTGTATAATCCATTGTAAAAAATGGGAAAATATTGAATGTTTTCAGGATTTCTGCAAAGCATAGTCACTTGCCTACTTTAAAATCCCAAGGAAACCCGGGAACTCCACTGGAACCTGGCAAAGATGTGCTGGACCCAACACTAGTCTTCCCAAGGGAACATGGGGAGAGGCACATGGAGGAGGCATCCGCAGGCAAGTCCACTGTGAAGGGACACTCTGTTCTCCTGGTCACTTTTATTCAGCCACCAAGGACTGGATGCCCCCCTCAGAGTCCACTCACCTCCCCAAACTGGCCTTCTCCCAGCTTCTCCTGGAAAGTTAGGAGTCTCCTGGGGAACTCTTCCACGGCCACGTCCTTTCCTGAGAGCAGGTCCATAGTGAGGGCAGGCACAGAGTAGGTGTTGCCTCCGGTCACCCCCTGGAGGTTCACAATGTCAGCCTCTGCGTAGTGGGGCACACCCTCTGGCCCACTGGGCTGGACTGGCTTCACAAGGCCGCTGCAGCCTGGAAGACAAGGCAGTGGTCTCATTCGAGGGGGCTTTGGCATCTCTTCGGGGTCAGACGCCTGAGAGACAGAGGGCTGGAGCACGTCCCCAAGTCACCTACCCCACACATTTCTGCTTGACTCTTCCTGAGACTTCCTCATGGCCTTCAGAGTGCAGGCCATCATTCTGCCTCTCCTTCCTTCTCAGACCACAGGACCATGAGCACGTCCTTGGATGGCCTTGGGTGGAGCCATTACAGGGAGGTTCGTGACATGTTAGGTAGGAGTATGAAAGGCTAAAGATCTGATAGCATATTTCTTTCATTGTGAGACACCACCACTGACTTAATAACCTATTTAAGTATTGGAAAGCTTTCTGATTAAGTTTATATGGTCTAGTTTAAGATACTTCCTAACTTTAAAAAATCATTAAAATATGAGGGGGAAAGTTTTAGACTTCAGAAACTAGGTAAATTACCCCAGTCTAGGAAATAATTTTGTTTTTACCCTTTATTCCTGCTGTCTGTAAAATCCCAAGGCCAGTGTGCCCCTTCAATGTCAGCATCTCCCGAGTATAAACACATGTGAGTTTCCTTTCTTCCCTCAAATGGCCCCTGGAAAGCTTCCACTCCTCTAGGTCGTCTGTCTGCCTGTCCATACCTCTCTCCTGAGCATTGTGTCCCTGTCTGCTGATGTGGGTTGCTGACCTCACAGGAAGGCTGCTCTGAGCCTCAGCGATGACCCCAGAAGCCCTTCTGATGTCACTCTGCAACAATTCTTTAAAAAACAGGGGGGTGTGAGTCAACTAGCACTGCTTTACCAAGCAATGCTTTTATTGAGAAAAGCCAAGAAATTCATTATTCTCATAATAAAATCTTGTGTGATTCCAACAAATCACCACCGAAGAGAAATCAACGAAAATGAGGTAAGGGCAATCGCGGTGGTGAAAACCTGGGAATTCAGGGCATGGTTAGCATCATTTATTTTCTCCTCCAGGGGAAATTCTAGTCCTGGACTTACCCCTAAAGATGTTTGGTGTTGGGTAAGTCCCTTATCTGGGCACTTTCCTCCTTTGTAAAATGAGGAGGTTGGATGAGGTGGATTGTTTAGGTTCTCCTGAAGCAAACACCTTAGTGACCCCTTTTGTTCCTTTGCTTCCACTTCTGAGATGGGGTCCCTGTAAACATCTGCTCTGTGCAGGAGCAAAGGAGAGGTGCCCAGATCAGGCGAGGAGAGCAGACGCCAGGGGAAGAGGGAGGGCGTGGGCTTCTCCAGCTAACACTGGGGGGGGTGAGACACCTTCACTCTCTGGCCAAGGCTCCTCCCTCAGCTCTCTGCTCACTGTTTCATGCTCACCTGTCTCCTCCTCCCCTGGAGCACAGTCACACACACCTTCAGGGTCCTCCCTCAGCTCCTCCCCTGTCCTGTCCTCACCTGGCTCCTCCTCCCCGGGAGGGAACTCTGGGAGTTTGCGGATCAGTCTTGAGGGCTCCTGGTAGTCAGGGCGTAGAGGAAAGATGCGGTCGTAGGTGGAGTTGGACTCCTGCTCACTGGGCGATGGGGAGTGGTTGTTGTTGAACATGCTGGACTCGCTGGGCAGGGACAGGCTGACGGTCATTTCATCGTCCAGCATCCTCCGGGAAGCCTGGAGGGGAGGGACAGGGAGGAGGCTTGCTGCATGAAGGGGACCGTAAACCTTCTCTTTCCCACTCTCTACCCAGATGGCATGGCTCTTCAAGGCTCTCAAACACCACACACACCACACAGGTAGGGATGCTGTCTGGTTCCACAAGTACCTGCATTGTAGAAACTTACACTGGTCCCTCACTTCTTCAAGGCAGAATTCGACCTAATTCCTGTGCCACCAACATTCCCTGAAGCACTAATACACAATGTTTACCTGACACTCTAAGAACCTATCAGTCTCAATCACAGAGCTCAATCTTAGTGTTTTCGGCATTCTATTAAACAGTAGCCTCTGTTGACTACCACTTGTGCTATTTTGATTTGGTGTAAACATAAATTTAAATGCTCACTAACTCAACATGCTGAATCACCTTGTCCCTCTGGCCCCATGATTTTTAAAGATACATTTTTTATTGATTTTATAGAGAGAAGAAAGGAGAGAGAGAGAAACATCAATTGGCTGCCTCCTGCATGTCCCCTACTGGGGATCGAGCCCACAACACTGGTATGTGCCCTGACCCAGAATCGAACTGGCAACCTTTTGGTGCACAGAACAATGCCCAACCTACTGAGCTACAGCAGCCAGGCCAAGGCCCCCACAATTTTATTAACCAAAATTGAAATGGTTACAGAATGGTAAAGGAAAGCCCTGGTGTCTGGGGATAGCCAGGTGTATTACAGCTCATACTGGAATAAAACAAATAATTGTTTGTCATCATACCTCATGTGACTTGCCTGCTCCTTCAAAAATATGCCAGAATCTGAATATATAACTATTTGGTTAGTCACCTCACACTGTGGGTGTCAATGAGAAACTTAGATGCCTGCTTTGTCACTGGAACTGGAAGGTCCACTGCTGAGGCAGAATTCCAAAAATCTAAGCTGGAGCCCAGCACACTATAGGGACTAAGTAAGTATGGTTGAATCTCTCAGAGAAAGAATGCTGAGCACATCATCAAAAGTAATCTACACACAGCTCACACAGGGGCACATCTGGAGCACCCAGCTCAGGTGACTAGGGAGGCTGAGCACTGGGCCCTACAGGACACCTACTACACAAGGCCACTCTACCAAGACCAGGAGACACAGCAGATATACCTAATACATAGAAACAAACACAGGGAGACAGCCAAAATGCAGAGACAAAGAAACAGGTCCCAAAGGAAAGAACAGGAGAAATCTCCAGGAAAAGAACTAAATGAAACAGAAGAAAAATACCAGATACAGAGCTCACAACAACGGTTATAAAAAGCTTACTGAGAACCAAGGAATTGGGAGAGAACTTCAAGAAACTTAATGAGAACATCAACAACACAAAAGGACCAGTCAGAAATGAAGGATACACCAACTGAAATAAAGAATAATTTACAGCCTGGCCAGCATGGCTCAGTGTTTGAGCATCAACCCACGAACCAGGAGATCACAGTTTAATTCCCTGTCAGGGCACATGCCTGGGCTGAGGGCTCAATCTCCAGTAGGGAGCGTGCAGGGGGCAGCCGATCAATGACTCTCTCATCATTGATGTTTCTATCTCTCTCCCTCTCCTTCTCCCTTCCTTTCTCTGAAATCAGTTAAAAATAAAAATTAAAAAAGAATAATTTACAGGGAATCAAAAGGAGAGGTAGAGGATGCCAAGAATCAAATCAAGAATTTGGAATATAAGGAAGCAAAGAAGACCCAATAAGAACAGCAAAAAGAAAAAGAATCCAGAAATATGAAGATAGTGTAAGGAGCCTCTGGGACAACTTCAAGCATCCCAATATTCACATCATAGGGGTACCAGAAGAAGAGAGGGAGCCAGAAATTTAAAAACTATTTGAAAAAATAATGACAAAAACTTCCTTACCTGGTGAAAGAAATAGACTTACAAGCCCAGGAAGCACAGAGAAACCCAAACAAGAGGAACCCAGAGAAGCCCATGGCAAGACACATCATAATTAAAATGCCAAAGGTTAAAGACAAAGAGAGAATCTTAAAAGCAGCAAGAGAAAAGCAGTTAGTTATCTACAAGGGAGCTCCCATAAGGCTGTCAGCTGATTTCTCCACAGAAACTTTGCAGGCCAGAGGGAGTGGCAAGAAATATTCAAAGTGATGAAAGGCAAAGACCCACAACCAAGATTACTCTACCCAGCAAAGCTGTCATTTAGAGCTGAAGGTCAGATAAACAGCTTCACAGATAAGAAAAAGCTAAAGGAGTTCACCACCCCCAGACCAGTACTACAGGAAATGTTGAAGGGTCTCCTTTGAGAAGAAGAAGAAAAAAGATAAAAAATATCAAGAATAGGAACAATAACATGGCAGTAAATACACATCTATCAACAATGAATTTAAAAATCAAAACAAACAAACAAGCAGAACAGAAACAGACTCATTGATGCACAGGACATTTTAACAGTTGCCAGATGGGAGAGGGTTGGGGCGATGGGTGAAAAAGGTGAAGGGATGCCCGGCTGGGCATGGCTCAGCGGCTGAGCGTCGACCTAGGATCCAGGCGATCAAGGTTCAATTCCCGGTCAGGGCACATGCCCGGGTTGTGGGCTGCAGCCGATCAATGACTCATCATTGATGTTTCTGTCTCTCTCTCTTCCTCTCCTTTCCTCTCTCTAAAATCAATAAAGATATATTTTTTTAAAAAAAAAAAAAAA